TATCAGAGATTCCACACTAGGTGGCGTCCCGGGTCACGACTGAAGCAGTAAAAAGCAATTTAAACATTATATGGGCTTCCATGCTAGAAGCAGTTTCCCTCTGGATTCTAAGAGAAATAATATTGAGAGAAAGGGATCTGGACACAGTGGCACAAGCCTGGAGTCCCATTGACTCAGGAGGCTGAGGCAAGATGATTGCAAGTTCAGGGCCAGTCTGGGCACTTAGTGAGACCCCATCTCAAAATAAAAATAAAAAGGGCTGGGGATGTAGCTCAGTGGTAGAGTGCCCCTGGGTTCCACCTTCAGTACCCAGAAATGGGAGAGGATGGAGGTGAGGGTGGGGGCAGGGAGAAAGGAATGAGGTTGCATTAAGTGATGATCACACCGCTCTTTGTTTAAGGGATGAGAAGTGGAAAGTGAAATCTACTACATTGGAAAAATGATGGCTGAGAAATTTAAAAACTAAAACCACAGTATTAAGGTGAAAGCACAGCCTTCTCTAGAATGAGAGGAACACTGTGTTAAGAAATGTTAGGATAAAGAAGAAGGATTACTATACAGGGACAGATTATATAAGTGAACTTCACCTTTCATGGTTGGGAGGTTTTGAAATGAATTTAACAGATTCAACTAAGCTTAATGGATGATAGAGCCAGAAGAGACATCATCTCTCCTGTCTGACATACACAGAGGAGCCTCTGACTAACCCAGTAGTGAACATGTTGTAGGCAGTATTACCTAACAAAGCTGGGAATCTGTACAACCCTGTATATTTACATAATCTCACATGTTAAGCTTCAGATCTTGATAGAAATTGACTTATGGATATCCTGAGATAGTTTGGAAGAACTAGAAAGGAGTATTTTATTCTCAGATGCAGGTATTACTAAAAGTGAGGAGTGTCTCACAAAATGCTTGGCTGACATTTTAAGCTTGGCATTCTTCTGGTCCATGTTTGAGGCTTAGTCTTTCCGCTTTCCTGGTAACTTCAGCTAATATATGCATTTCCTTTATTTATGAAACTTTTTTTTTTTTTTTTTTTTGTGGTGCTGGGAATCAAACCCAGGGCCTTGCACATGCTAGGCACTCTACCATTAAGCTATATCCCCAGCCCAGATTTCTTTTTTTACTTTTTATAGTACTAGGGATTAGGCCCTTTACTAGGGAGCTGCATCCCCACCCCCCCTTTTTTGAGACAGGGTCTAAGTTGCTGAGGCTGGCTTTGAATTTGTGATCCTCCTGCTTCAGTTCTTCAAGTTGCCCCAGCCCAGATTTCTTGTTTAGGTACAAAAGGGGCACTTCACCACTGAGCCACATCTCCAACTCTTTTTGTTTTGAGACAAGGTCTTGCTAAGTTGCTTAGGGCCTTGCTAAGTTGCTTAGGGCCTTGCTAAATTGCTGAGGCTGGCTTCAAACTTGCTATCCTTCTGCTTCAGCCTCCCAAGTCTCTAGGATTACAGGCCTGAGCCACCATGTCTGGCTCCAGCTCAGATTTCTTAAACCCACAAAAATGTGTATTCACATTTGTTCATGGCTTGATTGCTAACTTTTTATGTTTGTCTTAATATTGATAAATATCCCACTGGATATATTCACCATGGTTTGTTCATCTATCCTCTTATTAAAAAACATCTTGCTTGCTTCCATTCTTGAGATAATTATGAATAAAGGTGCTGTGAACATTTGCAAAAAAAAAATGTGGATTTATTGTTGGGTGTACGCCTTCCCACAGTTAACACTCATCCTTTGTGAATTCCATGTTGTGTGGTTTAATCATTTAAAGTGACAGGCAGTGAAAGGGACAGGATAAATTGGCATTGCCTTTAGTTTGGATTCATGCTAGTAAAGTGAGTGAAAATAAATTTTGCTTTTCTTTACAGTAACTTTCATGAAGCCTCAAGACATTGTGCTAATCATCAGATATGAAAAATTTCACACAAACTACATATCAAAACTGTTACTAATGAAATAACATGTCTCAGAACTTTGATAGAACTTGGCTTAGACTTTTACATTTTGTGGAGCTGTTAAAAAAACTAGTAGGGGGCTGGGGATGTGGCTCAAGTGGTAGCGCGCTCGCCTGGCATGCGTGCGGCCCGGGTTCGATCCTCAGCACCACATACAAAGATGTTGTGTCCACCGAAAACTAAATAGAAAATAAATATCAAAATTAAAAAAAAAAAAAAAATAGTAGGGACCAATACAGACAGAGCTTCTAACATTTTGCCAAGGAGACTTTTTGTTTGTTTGTTTTGGTGGTGCTGGGGATTGAACCCAAGGCCCTATGTGCAAGGCAGGCACTCTACCAACTGAGCTATATCTCCAGCCCCACCAAAAATATATTTAAAGCAAGTAACATTACTATCATTTCATTAAAGAAAGGAAACACAGGTACTATAAAAGTTGGGATAATCTCATATTAAATGTTTGAGTTGACAACCTTCTTTTAGCAGTTTTCCCCCTCTATGGATAGCTGAAATTTTAATCTTGGCCTAGAATTTGGGGATAAGGGCCTAAATCAATACCATTTACTTTAACCAATTTTGCTTAAAAGGTTGAGGGATGAGTGGCATAGCTTGAGGTCATTTTTTTTTTTTT